ATATTGATAAGACAAAACAGAGTCATGTACACAAGGATAGATAAAAAACAAAACATTGATAACACAAAAAAGAGTCATGTAACTTTAAGTACTAAACTAGTCTTTTTCAACCCTTCCAACGTAACATTAACAACATCAACAACCCTAGACCTCAAAAAAAGCGCAGCAACCTCCCTAACACCCTCCCCACCACACTCCTCAACCGCCACAACACAAACCCACCTCTCCTCACCGTCCTCTCCATCTCCTCAACAACCCTGAGAAATACACACAGAGAGAGAAAGGTATAAGCAAACAAATAACACACAACAAAAAAACAAAAGCTACTGTTGAGAGAGACTTGCAATACAGTTTTCTCAAAAAGCAGAGAAAAAGGATATATTCTCACTGTTAACATAAAAATGACGTCTGATAACATCACAAACTCTGAGACTCTGATCCACGAAACCACCACCATCGAACTCGTTCCCCATCTCCTCCACCGTCGCGCAGAGCCTACCTCCATCGACCTTAGCTTCTACCACGGAGGAAGAATTGATCCATCTCGCGTTATCCTCATCTGAAACACCCTCGTTGTCGTCGTCGTCATCGATGAGAAGCTCGCAAGCTTCCCGCACTTTAGCCATGGCTGTAGGCTGATCCTCCGCCGTCACTGATGGTAGAATCCGAGCTTCTCCCCAGTCGAAGCATCCGCCGCTGAACTCGATTCGATTGGGATCGCCAAGTTTCCTACGGAATTGTAGATTAGATATGTTTTATTATTTAGGGCATAAAGGTCTTTTTTCTATTAAAGTTTTGATGGTAAAGATGGTTAAGGTATAGATAAAATGTGGTATGAGGAAAGTGGTATTAGTCACAATTTCCCTTTTTATAATTATATAATTTTTCGTTTCTAAGAAAATTTCCTCGTAGTTTTATCAAATTTAATCTAGTATAATTTAACCAAAATAAAAATGTATAAGATTATCTAAATTAGGATTTTAAGTATATACAAATCCCTTCTTAAATATTAATTTAAAATAAATAAAATTATTTATTTTATCTTAATTTTTAAGTTTATTTAAATCATAATTTAAATAAAATTTATTATCAAAATAAAAGCTATAGTATTAACATTTTTCAAAAAATAAATTTTAGTTTTAAATTTTGTTTATGCTCATGGTGAAAGAAAACACTTAATATATATTGAAATTCTTTTAGAGTTGTTTTATTTTGTTTATTTTCTACCTAGCGTTCCTCTGTTTTACCATATTTACTTTAAAAATTATTTACCATCTTTTTAACATTTTACCGGAAAAAGATAGTGTGCTTATTTTCTTTGAATCGTTGGTAAATATTTTTTACTAGGTGTTTTGCCCGCACATGCGGGCATAATTTTCATATAATTTATAATTAATCTATATTTTATTAATTCAAACCAAAATAATAAGTTATGATTTATGTTTTAAATTAATTAAATGACAACACTCACATAATTTTTGATCAAAAAAAAAAGACAACACTCACATAATAAAATATTTTTAAAAATATATTTTTACAAATGTTTTGCTTTAATTTATTTTAATTATAATTTTTCTATCTTAATTATTTATTTGTATAATAAAAAATATATTTTCAAAATAACAATCTAATACATAAGAAGTATCTTATTTTATCAAAATATAATTTTTCATAGAAATTCGTTTTTATTTTATAATAAATTTTATATGAAATTATTGAAAATATGACAAATAATCAAAATTATCTAAATCATGGAGAAATTACAAATCAGATAATTCACTTAAATTTTCTAATAGAAAATATATGTTCAAGATAACAATCTAATAGATAAGAATTATCTTTTTTTTTTAAATCTAGTATTATTATATACATTCATTTTATTATTTAATAAATTATATATTAAATTATTAAAATATGATAAATAAGCAAAGTATAAAACCATGGAGAAATTGATAAATCAGTATTGCTTTTTTATATTTAACTATTAATATTTTAACTTAATTTTGATTTCTATGATAAAAAATATATTTTTAAGATAACAATATAATACATAAGAATTATCTTATTTTCTAAAAGTATAATATTATTAATAGAAATTCGTTTTAATTATTAATAATATAATTTTTATATATTAATTTTAGAAAAATATTAAATTATGAATATAAATCCATTTTAATTATATTTAAATACTAAGCTATTAATATAAATTCGTTGTAGATAAATATAATAGTGTTTATATCTTAATTTAAAATTTAAGTTTTATATATAAAAATATATTTCAAGATAACAACATAATTCATAAGAATTATCTTATTTTAAAAAATATAAGAGTATTAATATAAATTCGTTTTTATTAAATAATAAATTTTATATGAAATTATTTAAATAAGGTAAATAAAAAAATTTACCTAAAATCAAGGAGAAGTTGACAACTAAGCAAATTTACTTCTTAAATAATAGTATAGATTGTGATCTGTACCAACTGATTACGATGTTTCTAAACTTTTAATCTTCAACTCAAACTCAGTTAACAATGAACTTGACATTGTATTTTTAACTTTTAGTTTCAATATTCCGCAGAGAAATAATACAAAATATTTTTGTTTTGTAAAAGGCTTACTAATAGTAATAGAAAAAAATTGTTACCGTCTAACAAATTAACTGTGGAAAAAGTAAATTCATACTATTGTTCATAACTTCAGGAGTATGGATGGTCTCGCAGCTAAACACATGATCAAAATGGTACTTCCGCTCACTGAATTTAAAACATGATCGTGGTGGGTTCATCGTGTACTCGAAACTCCCGAAATATTTTGTAACGCCTTGACCTTCTACGGTTAATGGGCCACCCACGCTCGTTCATTCGGTCTGTGTATCCCGTTTCAACGGTCGGTCTGTTAATTTTCTAAGGCTCAAGAGTCATGTTTATTGACCCTGCAATCACCACATGACTTTTCTCTGTGTTTTGTCCTCACTTACACGATATCGCAAATCATTTTCCGATAGATTACTCATCATTTGACTACTCCAGTTTAAGCATGCTTAACTCTGGAGTTATCTCTAGATGTGCTTCCAGAAGGTAAGTGCACTTTGGTGACATAGGTAGTCAAATCAATTTTCTTAAGCCTTTCCATATATCACAACTCGGGATGTTACAATTCACCCCCTCTCAGGAACGCAACGTCCTCGTTGCGCCCCACGACATGTCTCAAGACGCCTCTCAAGTCAGAACTGAGATGGCTAACCAGCTTTGATACCATTTGTAACGTCCCGACCGCCTACGGCTAATGGGCCACCCATATCCGTTCACTCGGCCCGTGGGCCCATCCCGTTCCAACGATCGGTCTGTTAATTTTTCAAGGCTATAGAGTCATGTTTACTGATCCTGCAATCATCACATGATATTTCCCCGTGCTTTGCCCTCACTTACACGGTATCGCAAATCACTTCCTCAACACGCTTAACTCTGGAGTTCTCTCTGGATGTGTTCCCAAGAAGGTAAGTGCACTTTGATAACATAGGTAGTTAAATCAATTCTTTTAAGCATTTCTATATATCACAACTCGAAATGTTATATATTCATTAGTTATCTGTACGATTTGGAAAAGAAATTTAATAAAATATTTCTTTCTCAAAAACTAATGAATATTGCCCTAAACGTACGGTATCAATATACCACAGTTGCAATTTATTAATGAACCGTACCTAGGAGTAGGAGGCCTTTACCATTATGTTAAAAAGGGCCAAGCACATATTGATAGACAGCGAGAGCAAGGCTTTAGGTACTCCAAGACCATTGGGTGCTTATTATACCATTCTTTTAAGATTTATTTAATAACCTAGCTTCAACCTACCCTTCAAACTTCTCAAGAGCTGCATCTTTTATAGTTCTCTAAACATATTAACATGAAAAGGCTTCATTATAATAAGATAAAGAAAACAGAGTGCCCTTTGCCACTATTCCATATGCCCAAAGGCCACTATAGCTTGTGACCGCTAATTATTAATTAAGGATTAAACCAAATATGGAAAATAGGGTTAGTTGGCTCTTAGCTTTTTCAAATCAGCCACAACCGTCAATTTACAGATCTAGAGACCACCATAATCTTGCATCAGGCCCACCCACCACCATGATTAGAACAAACTATTGTTCTCAGACTTTTATTTTAATTTTTTTGTATCTCTAATTTTCTTTTCTTTTGTATCCAAGTGACATGGCTATCACACTAATAAAAAACTAAAAACCAAGTGTAAAGAATTGGTTATACCAACCAAACTAAAAAAAATCTGTTTGTGGGGTTCTTACTAATAACAATCCATGCCATATTTATTAGGGAGTTCTTAGGACGAAATTTTTAGCATAATATAAAAACCGTCTGTTAACTTTTAATTAAGAAAACTAAGAACCGACTCTTAAATAAATTTTAAAAGACGATTCTTAGTTTTTCTTAATTAAAAGTTAAGAGACAATTTGTATATTACGTTAATAACTCCAACCTAACAATACCCAATAATAAATATGCCTTAGAATGAATCCAGATATAAAAATTGGTTATACATGCTTGATTTAACATATTCTTTTGTTTCGATGTAAACATTGTAAAGGTCGTGGTTGGTGAAAAAGATATTGTTGTTCGCATGTCGAAAAATACTTCGTTTAACATTTAAGATGTACGTACTAGTTTTTTAAAAAAAGAAAGATGTACGTACTAGCAAAAATATGACTAAGAATGTGAGATACTGTATATACATATGTGCGCGAGTGATTGAGTTGGTATCAGATATAAAATATTAATTAACATTTTTCAATCGATCAAACTACAAATTATATTAGTAACCTGTTGAATTTGGAATTCTCGGACCATTATGTGTAACAAAAACATGGAGAACAAATGAAAGGAACCTTACTAATTAATTACCCTTTAGTTTACGAACAAGAAGGAGATAAACTAAGTCGCATAACACAAAGACAATTTAATGAAAGTCCAAGAGTGATCGATAGAATCACGGAAACACAACGAGCAACACATAGAAACCCCAGCTAGCATATACAACGCACCTCAAACATCTTACTTTGACGTTACAAATAAATGTTTTTACGAAACAACATTTGGCATCTTACTTCGTTACAACAAATTTAACATATAGCTAGTGGCCGATTCTAGTGTTTCCCAAAAAAAAACTAGTGACCAATTCCGGGACTGTTCCCGGGTTTAGTAGGCCGGAATGCATCCAACGAATGATCTTCTTTCTCTAACTTGCTTGGAATATTCAACCCGTGACCACCAAGTTTCTTCTCGATGTTAGAGATCGTCGAAGAATTCAAAGGTCGACCTTCGACGATGTAAGATTCTTGGATGAGAGTCAGCACTATTATTAGTAATACAAATCTAGTCAAAGTATAGGTAGCCATAGCAGTTGTCAGAGTTGTTATACTTCCAAGATTGAACAAAACGAATGAAAAAGCTTAGGAAATATGTGTAAGAAAACTATTGGAATATATGTATCAATGGCTTCAACTCTAGATGGCTATTTATGGAGAGGAAAAATGCTAGCTGGACCGTGCATGTACCCTCCAACAAACAAAGCCAACAAATTATTTATGTAATAACAATTATTATTTATACACATGGAAAATAATTAGGAGTTTGGTTATAAATTCCAAGCTTCTGGGAACATTCCCTGAATGGAGATCACTGACCAAAATCATTGTTAGCAACTTAGCATCCTCTAGATTGGAAAAACATATCTCACGACATGGTTCAAGATTTTTCAGTCACATCACGGCAGATAGCTTTATTTGAGTTACTGTTGAAAGTGAATTCTAGCTCCAAACCAACAACGACAATGCATATTTGATACTCCCTCCATTTTACACGATAAGTGTCCGTTTCGGCTTTTAATATAAAATTTATTAATTTTATTTTATAATTTATTTTTTTATTTGTTAAAATATAGTTTAAGTGTATATGTAATTATGTTTTTTATATAGACAAAGAAAATTATTTTCTTAATCCGTGTGCACGAATCTAAAACAACACTAAATATAAAACAAAAGGAGTATATTATTTGGCAAAAACATATTTGATATATAGGAAAACACCCCTTAACAGAAAAAAAATAATTATACTCTGAGCTCAGATATTTGTAATTGCAATCCCACATTAATCATTTTTTTGTAAACTTGTATTTTATATATTGTTTCCACTTTAAATTAAAAGAATATTATCATTAATTACAGAACGTAGATGATGGTCTTGGAGAATATTCGCACTGAATAATAATAATAATAAGTATATTCGTCGGATTTCATACTTGTTCAGACCAAATTGTGGTGAAAGTGGCCATTCGTTAAAAAGTGAACGAAAATGGGTGCACGTTTAGACTGTCATGATTCAAGGAATGCTACATGCATCCTTTTAACTAAATACTTATGTTTTCAGTTTCTTACAGAACTTTTTTGAGATTCTCACGAGCTCTCGTTTTTTTTTTGAGCAACTCACGAGCTCTCGTTATTCATTCAACAATTGGCACTAGACTAGTGTCCTTAATTGCACATGCACAAGAATCGTTTTTGGATCTTCCTGTTCCGGTGCTTTGCGGCTGTGCCTATGCTGTATCTCCTAAGACCTAAGCTATGTATGAATAGGCTATCTATGCATGTGATTTGTTTCTTATGTAATTTTATTTGTTTATTTTTGGCTTAATTGTTATTGTACTGTAAAATCTCAAGAGTTTGACATAGTGTGCTCATGTGTAAGTTATAGTTTAATTTCTGTCAAATAAAGTAGTGTACTAGGCTGTTATAGTTCGTATCTCAAATATTTTATCAATTTGCTGAGTCGAGTAATAAATAACACATAATCAAAAGGTTTTGCTACTATGATTAAGGATGTTACATGGTGTTATCTATAGAACGATATTAGACGGTTTTAAATTTTAGGTAGCAGTTTGAAGGGTCTAAATATAACCGCGAGCTATTTGGTTCTAACTTACCATGACTTAAAAAATTTTACTATACCACAATTATATATTTGTATATAAAATCATTTTCCAAACCAGATTATTAGAAGTATTTATACTTTTGTGGTTTTTTTTAAGACAAACAAAAAATTTGAATTTCAGGAATGCCCTAAAACCATAAAATTACTAAATTGATCCCAAAACCATTAAATGGTAAAGTTCAAATTAACCATTAACAATCTAAACCTTGAAAACAAGATTGCAATATTCTGTACATCTAAAATTCTAAGTGTCAATGCACCATAACACTAAAAAATCAGTGGTCTCATGGTAGAATAGTACCCTACCAGATACAAGTTTGGATTGCATTCCTGGCTGGTGAATAAACGTATTTTTGAATATGTAATTTGTTTTGGCAAGTTTTAGCTGTTCCTTGTTCATATTACAGGTTTTCTTCAGAATTAAGAAAAATTATAGTGAATGGTTCAATCTCGTTGCCTTTTTTCACCCTCACCAAAGGCATTGTTCACTGGTCAACAAAATAATAACCTTGAGTATTTTTTGGTGGTAAAAAAATATAAAAATTTAATTGTAAATTACATTATTCAATAATTTAGTGTAAAAAATTAATAACCTTGAGTATTTTTTTTTGGTGGTAAACACTAAAAAATTTAGTGTTTCAAAAAAAAATATTTTTCAAGAAAGTTCATCAGTCCAACTGCAACAAAGAACAAAATATTAATTAGTTATTTTATTACAGACATCATTTTCTATATTTTTCTATATTTAATTGTACCGTGTCAACTTTAACTAAATGTAGCATGAATGAAAATGTAGTTATTCTAACCAAACTTTTTATTAAGATGAGCTATATTTAATTATTAATAGTAGTAGCTAATAGAACTCAGTTGAGTCGTTTTCCTTCTCCCTAATTTGGAAATCTTTAAACCTTTCTTTTGCGCCACCAACCATTTTTATTAAATTTAAGAAATCAAAAGCGTAGTATAAAATATCTTTAAAATGTATATAAATCTTAAAGGATCTCCAGAGCCTTTCTTCATGTGCTTCGCAATTCTACCTTTTGCACATGGTGGCAAGTAGTAAGAAGCTCACAACGAAGTATCTGGTATTTATATTAACATGCAAACTCATGCAAAAAAAAATTAAAGTTTCAAATCAGTTAACACAAAAATCATATTTAACTTTATTGATGAACTAAAGTAACTCTTTATCGACCAACTAACAAATAACATATCATGAAATACAGATACTAAATTAAAAGACTTATTCTTGGGTTCACCCCCTAGGGTGAACCTCTAGGTTCACCAACCAATAGCATGGTGTTATTTAATATTTGATATCTTTTAAAAAAAGAAATAAAATCTTGTTAAGTTATATTATGTTTGTAAAATAAAAATCAAAAAAAATAAATATAATAATAATATTTAAAAAAACGAAATTTTTTTATTTATTTTTGAATATTTTAACATTATATTATGTTTTAAATTAAAAAGATAAAATAAAATAAAAACAGTAATAATTGCAAAAAAAAATTTTAAAAAAATATTTTAATATATCTTTAAAATGAAAACAAAATATTGTTACATTATATTAATTTTATTGATTTAATATTTAAAAATCGAAAAAATAAGATAAAAATAAATAAAAAACAGTATAATTGGTTAGTATTAATTTTATTGATTTAATGTTTAAGATTTTTCCAAAGGGTTTATGGTTTACCCAAGGGTTTAGGGTTTAGGATTAGGGTTTAGGGTTTAGTGTTTATGATTTACCCAAGGGTTTAGGGTTTGGGATTAGAGTTTAGGGTTTAGTGTTTTAGTGTTAAAATAATTTTTTAAAATTTCTTTTATAAAATTTATCTAAAAAATTATGATTTACCCAAGGGTTTAGGGTTTAGGATTAGAGTTTAGAGTTTAGTGTTTAGTGTTAAAATAGATTTTTTAAAAATGATTTTCGTTTTTAGTTAATATTATTATTTATTATTTATTTTGTATTTTTATTTTTAAAGAGAAAATATAATTTAACAAGATTTTATTTCCTTTTTTAGAAGATATCAAATATGAAATAGTGCAATTCTATTGGATGGTGAATTTAGAGGTTCACACTAGGAGATGAACCTAAGAATAACTCTAATTAAAATATCACTTAAAGCAACAACTTAAAATACATATATTAATTCGTAAAAGCACGAAGAAGCACGCTAAACTACTATAACATTTTCTAACAATTAAAAGATTTACTTTTCAGATTTTTGACTAATATATAGTATAGGTTTATAGGGTTTTTAATAGTTTTGAAACTTATACTAAATAATAAAATCTTATTATAAATATTTCTATAAAAATATTTAATGTAATACATATAATTTTTTTTAACAGATGATTTGCTAAAGTAATTTTATCAAATTTAATTTTTTAAATATTTGAAACTATATAATGTAAGATAACATGATATAATATGTTGTATAATAGATGAAAACTTATTTGAATAACTAATGTGTAGGTTGATTATTGAACATAAGATATGGTGTATAACATTATTATATGATAATTATAATATTGGATGGTGAAATATTTTTAGAGAAAAAATATATCATAAGAAATGAGTAGTAATAATATAATGTACTTAATTAAACTATTGTTTTGTTAGATAATTAATAGTAAGAGAAAAAGAAAGTTATACATAGGTCTAATAACATTTTTATAAGAGATTGTTAGAATGATTCATCTTTTAATAGTATAAATTATTTATTAATAACGGAGAAAAAGAAAGTTATACATAGGTCTATCGTTTTGGAAGCACCGTAGCCTAATGGTTAATGTTTAAAGGTTTCTACACCAGGTCTGGGGTTCGAATCCCAGGTTATGCAGTTTCTACACCAAAAAGGTTTAAATTCCTGAAAAGGTAAATGGCGAATTATGCAGATTATTAGAGAGAAGGTTTACAAGAGATTTTCAGTATGGCCCAAGGCGTACCGTCAGGAGTGGATCTCATAGGGCGGCTCAGGATGATGCAGTCAGACGTAAATCCATATAAGGCAGGTAGAATTGTCGGCTCTAATGTCGTCTATTTAATATCTCTCATAATTTGTAAAACCAATGTTTAAAAAAAAAAATTTGTTGCTTACATAACACTCTAAATTTCGAAAGGTTAATTAAGTTCCAAAAAAGCCGCCCTTCCCCTTGACCATAGAAAGACATTGATGTTAGAAAGGACCCTTTCCCATTCGGCCATCTCAATATAGATAATATATACAAAACCTTTATATATACTTTTGATATTTAAAAGAGAAAATCGTGAAAGAAATCCCGAGTTTTAGTTATAAATATATTATAATTAAGGAACAGAAAGTATAAAATAGATCGATTGCATGGTTGTTGGGAATTGGAATGTGTCCCTTTCTTTTAAGTTGAATTTTAAGTAACCTCAGTAGTTTTACTTCAACTTCTTTAGTAAAACAATCTGGTGTTTTAAGAACTTATTTTAAGATACATATCCAATAAATGTTTGTCTATGTTCTGTAAAATTGCAATTCTTGAGATTCAGTAGTTCTATGATGATATTCTTTACTCATGGAGTATATTGTAAAGATTGGACTCTCCCCCCACTCAAAAATTCAAAATTTTCTCCACTACCAAAAAGGGTTGGTTACCATCAGGTCAGATTTATAAAAATAGTATTCGTACGAAAAATATTTGTAATCAACTACTTTATTCTGTTTATCAAGTTTTTTTTTTTGGGGCAAACTGTTTATCAAGTTTTAAACTATTATATATGAACTTTTAATGTGTCCGACAACGCCGCCATGCTTGTAAGAATATACTATTAATTACTCCAAGTGCATATTTTTATTATGAACAATTAGTATATAAAAACGAACTAGAGGAAAAGTTAGTTCGTCAACTAACTAGCATGGAGAATCAAGTCAAAGGCTCAATCGCCATCAACTCAACTACGACTCATTTTTTTTTTTTTTGTAAACTCAGTCATTCTTTCTTTGTCGCCTGTTATTATAATTCTTTTGCCAGAAAGTTTTACATTATAAAGTTTTTTAAAATCTTATCAAATAAGTTTAAAAATTAGATTAAAACAATTTTATTGGGGGGGGGGTATTTCACTGAAGGAACATTTCTTGTAATTTGTGCTAAAAACACATCACACGTAAAATGTCTTAAACGAAGTTTTATCTCATTATTTTTGAAATATTTAACTGGTTGAACCAGTATCATGTGAAATTTTTATATCGACACCTTGTTATAATTGTGCTATACATTTAGTAGTCGGAATATCCCATATTTGTGAAGATTCGTACTACTATGCCCTAAAAGTATGTGTGCAGCCATATGATTTATATGTTAAAAAGTGAGAAGGTTGTTTTTTATTTGGTTGGTTCCCACAAGCATGGAAGTCCTTGGAGGGGCCTACCACAGTCTCCTACCACTGATTTTTCTTTTACTTTCAATATATTCTGCACACTAGTCTTTATGCCAGAAATCATTTGCCATAATTGTTTTTTGAGGAAGTGATAAAAGCCAAAAGGCTGTGAGGTAGAAGTGTAATGTGCTATTGTTTCGTAACGATGAAAAAAACTAAACTAATCTTTATATTACAATCTCAACCATCAACCTCACAGTTATTACTTTATTATGATGATTAAATAATTAAACACCAACGTACAGGGAAGGGACGATCTACAGTGTCTAGGAAGGCCCCCAGTAAAAAAGACAGATTGGATTTTGCAGCTCAGATGGTAAAAACCCTCATGTGCCCCACAGTCATTTGTACTCAACCTCGACTGGAAAAGAAAGCCTAAACCATTTTATTCCAAAAAGCAATTTCATGAATATTTCAACGAACAACGTTACGCACATATCATAAATGGAACTGCACGAACATGATACAATAGTAAATCATACATTCACAAATCACAAATACACATATACACATGCATATGTGGAATTACAATTGCATGAAAATGTTTAGTTGTGTGGTAAACTGTGGCCAATCCCAGGGCTATGACCGGGTGTTGTAGGCCTGAAATCTTCTGCACCTTTACCCTCCGGTGGTGGCGGGGGAGGTGGCTGCGATAGCTGGACCGCCTTTTCATAAACTATCAGATCGTTGCTCATGGTCATCATCTTCTTGCTATCATCATGACGAACATTCATCTTATCATCATCAACTTTCATGTTTCTTAGGGTTCGTCCATGGACGCAATTAAACCCTTTAAAAAGCACCATCGTTAAAAAAACGCAAGCGAACAATGTTTTCTTTTGACCCATAGACGCCTCCATTTGAAAAAAAAATGGGAGATAGAAAAGAAAACAAAAAAAAAACGAAACTTAATATATTTGTTAAGGACACTAAAAATATTTGAGAGGTGGTGTGAAGTAATACATGCTTCAATGGGGGCATTTATATAGAGATTTTTGGCAAAAAAAAATTATATAGAGACTAGCTGTACGTGTTAATTGTTGCAAATAAACTAATTAATTCAAGTCGATGTTGTTTATTATAATTATTACAAAGTAGGTCGCGTGCTAGTAATATTCTTTCAAAATAAAATGATTGGTGCAAGAAAAACATGTAGTCACTGACTCACTGGTTCGAAAATTTAAGCTACATTTCAACAATTTGTTTATATTTTGCATTGACAGAGCCGGATTTTTATAGCTTTACAACCAGTAAAGTCAGTCAGACTCAGAATAAAAGTCCTAGCGGTCAAGAGTTAGTTACATATTTTAATAAATTAATAATATTGAAAGTTCACCTAAATGTATTAATTTAAAATAATATAATTAGATTCATATTTCTAGATATTTTATTTAAAAAGAAATTCAACTTATAGTTTTATATATTGGTTAAATTTTATTTTTATTAGATTAAATTGTGTTTTTGATATGTCAAAATATATGTTTTAGAGATGTAATTCAATAAAACATTGTTAAAGCATTTTGAAATGATAATTAGAAACCGAATTATTTAGTACAAACATGTTTTGTTAGATCTTATGTTCTTGTTTTCGAACTGTATAGTGTACATAAACACATACACCACATGCAAAATGAATAAACAACTAATAATAACTCATCAAAATTCAAATAAAAAACAACTTCAGTGTTGGAATATGGGCCCATTCCTGATTTTGGCCCAGTCTAATCCTGCAAACAAAAGAAAGTAATGAGTTGGTGGGATTGTTTCCATTATTAAGTAAGAGACGTGAAGATACAAGTGCAGCTGGGAAAAGGAATATTTACACAAGCCATTGTGATTTTGGTTTGGTATAAATATAGAAGTTGTGCGACCTTATTTGGCATCAGATTAAGAAAAGAGACACGAGAGCTAGGGGAGACAAAGAGTATTATTTAGGTTTTGACTTTTGTCTAGAGAGCTAAGTTTGTGTTAATTCTTTTAAGAGTGAATAAAGATAAGTTTTGATATCGATTGCATTCCAAGTTTAAGCACTAAGAAAGGTTTAAAACCTAACAAGTGGTATCAGAGCAATCCAGGTTTGATTGCAAGTGCTAGGAGGAGATATGGAATTGATATCAGGAAAGTTCAAGTTCGAGATTGAGAGGTTTGATGGAAAAGGTGATTTCGGGTTATGGAAGTATAAGATGCTAATGCAGTTAGAGCTTCTAGGGTTAGATTCTACAATTCAAGAAGTTCGGTCACGGCGTCTGATACAGACAAGGCCAAAGACGAAGAACTTGAGGAAGCCAAAATAGATCCACTAAAGGATAAAAAGGCAAAGAATTTAATATGCATGAGCCTAGGAAATTTGGTTCTGCGTAAGGTGATGAAGGAAACAACTGCACTAGGGGTTTGGAAGGTTTTGGAAAGAGATTACCAAACGAAAACACTTCCTAATAGGATCTATATGAAGTAGAGGTTTGCGAGCTTCAAGATGGATGATCACAAGAGCATCGAAGAAAATCTGGATACTTTTCTCAATCTAGTTTCAGATCTTGCAAGTCTTAACATCAACATCAGCGATGAAGACCAGGCAATTCAAGTTCTATCCAGCTTGCCCCAGCAATACGATTCACTAGTTGACACGCTCAAATACGGGACAGCAAAAGAAACTCTTACCATGAATGATGTGATTAATTCAGCATACTCCAAGGAAGTGGAGTTAAAGGAGAAGGGATTGCTGAATAAATCCAGGTCTGAAGCAGAGGGTTTGTACGTGGAATCAAGGGGCAGATCGGAGAACAAAGGTTATAGAGGTAAACCTAACGGCAGGGGCAGATCTAAGTCAAGGCAAAGGTTTGATAAAAACAAAACAAGTTGCTTTATATGTGGAGAAGAAGGACACTGGAAAAGAGAATGTCCAGAGAGGAGACATAGAGAATCTGCAAACATTGCGACAGAGCCAAAGCAACTGTTAGTGTTAACAGCTTATGTGCAAGACACTAAGCAAGAATGGATCATGGATTCTGGATGTTCTTATCATAGTACATCAAACAAGGAGGCTATGTTTGATCTCAAGGAGTTCAACGGTGGTTCAGTGTTAATGGCTAATAACACTCAATGTGACATCAAAGGGATTGGGAAGATAAAGATTCAAAATTCAGATGGCACTGAAGTGATACTCACAGGTGTCAGGTACATTCCGGAGGTGAGAAGAAATTTAATTTCTTATGGGATGTTAGAAAAACCAGGTTGCAAGTACAAAGGAAGCAATTTTATGGTGCACTTCTACAAAGATAATAAGAAAGTAATATCAGGAAAATATCACGATGGAGTTTATTATCTACAAGGCACAGTTGGTAAGAGAAAGAAGTTAATGCCTAGAGTGGAGAAAGAAATCAGAAAGAAGAAGTCAAAGAAGGTGACTTTCGCAAGGAGTCTGATTCAGGGACCTACTCCATTCGGTTTTGAAACAAAAGACTTATCAGCTCAAGGTGGAGACTCTTTCTTAACAACAGAAATTGAGTCCAAAGTGAGCAGTGAAGAATCTGGGACAGAAGCTTCAAGGGATAATTTATTGTTTGCAAAAGAAGTAAGGCAAAGGGATGGTGATTTCTTAGCACATCTTTTGGCTGCACCTGAAGAGCTAACTACGAAAGAAGGATCTAAAGCTTATGAGGAGGATAAGGAAAGCAAGGATCAGAAGTGTTGGAAAAAGGCTGAGGAGAACGTGGATATGAAACTTAAGAATGAAGCTGAGGGGAAAGCTTCAAAAATATTGGAAGGTGGTATTTTCGGAGATAGAGTTAAAGGAGCTGTAACACTATCTGAAATCCATACCAATAATCAAGATGAGTCAGAAAGAAACGCAGTACCTGGAAAGGAGTTTCAGGGAATCGCCTAAGAAGATAGACGCTCCAGGTAACCACATTATCAAACGCTGTCTCAAAGCTCGCAGAGACAGAGAAAAAGAAACAAGCAAGTTTCAAGTTTATATTGATAATGGGAAACTCAAGTAGGTGGAGTTTATAGAAGGTTACCTGTGAGCATTGATGCGAGGAAGGGGTTTTAGCTCAAAGTGGAGCAGCTGAAACAAAAGAAAAGAATTCACTCAAGAGCTCTGAAGCAACGGATGAAGAAAAAGAAATTTAAAGTTTAAGGATGACCTGAGAGAAGGTCTTAAACACCAAGAAGGGTGAAGGGAGACGAGTATCTCAGGGTAGAGAAGAATCACAGCAAGGTTGTTGCCAAACAAAGAAAGTTTGATAAGAGAAGGTCTTAAAAAACAATAATGGTGTATGGAGAAGAGCATCTCAGGTTATAGGAAAAGCACAAGAGAAGTAAAAGGAAAGTATCGTTGAGGAAGCAGCGAACTTGGTCTGAGAAACTGAAGTATGCCGTAGAGGAAGAGTGACTTGAATCACGCAATGGTTTCGCCATCTGGAACATAACAAAGAAGAGGATATTTTTAGTAATTATCAGCTCATAGCTATGAAATAAAAAGGTTTAAGGAGAAGGACTGGAAGAAGGTCTTACCAGGTGAAATTTGTTCTTCTAATAATCCTTGACGGAAGGCTCGTCTAGCGATCCGTACACGATGAGAAACCACCAGAAGTTGCGCATCAGTGGTTGAATTTTTCTATGGATTAGAGCTACTGGGAAAGTATTATAAAATCAAAAGAGTATTTGGCAGATACAAAGAAGATGATACTGGTTGTTCATCGGATTAGTTGTAGAAAAGAAATCAAAGCAGTTAATCGAAAAAACTCTGCAACAATGGATTCTGTTTACAATCGAAGTTGACACAGAAGACTCATTATCAAAACAAATACGAGCGTAGGAAGGCGAGTTCTGATCGAGGCGGAACCGTTCGGTGGTCGGAATCACACCGGTGAGGCAGAGTTTATGATTTCATCAACATCAGCGAGGAGGCTGAGATGAGAAATCTTTGGGAGATGAACATCGCTGTTTGGTCGGTTTTCTTTTCATGAAGCAAGTAAATCAGAGCTTCTGAAATCCTAAGTGGTTTCTATCGTCGATCGGAAAGACAAGTGAAGCTGCAAGTGAATATGGGCCCAAGGTGGAATATGGGCCCATTCCTGATTTTGGCCCAGTCTAATCCTGCAAACAAAACAAAGTAATGAGTTGGTGGGAAAAGGAATATTTACACAAGCCATTGTGATTTTGGTTTGGTATATATATATATACAAGTTTATTTGGCATCAGATTAAGAAAAGAGACACGAGAGCTAGGGGAGACGAAGAGTATTATTTAGGTTTTGACTTTTGTCTAGAGAGCTAAGTTTGTGTTAATTCTTTCTTTTATGAGTGAATAAAGATCAAGTTTTGATATCGATTGCATTCCAAGTTTAAGCACTAAGAAAGGTTTAAAACCTAACATTCAGGTTGGTTTAACCAAAGAGATGCTGAATCACAGCCTCAGTTTCCATTCTATTGTGATAAAAAAAAAAAAAGTTGAATTGCATCAGACCAAAGGTCCGGTAACCATCATATCTCCGTCGGTTGTGAGACTGACTGAATACTTCAGTAAGCAAAAATCAACAAGTCATAAGGATCTTGAAGAAAAATGCACCATTACTTTAAGAAGTGCACTTTACAAAGCCTCTCTTAATGAAGACTGAGAGCCTTCCTTACTTTAACAAGTTTGTGTTGTTCTCTTTGTTTGATCTTGACTTGATCCGCTTTGATTATTTTCATAAGCTGCGGTTCTTTAATTCCGAGCCTATGACTGACAGAAACCTTTTAAAATGGCAGAGACATATATCAGTTGTTTGCTAGCTGGAAATGGACTGTATAGTATGTTCGTTGCTTTAACTGGGCTTGTACTTATCACTTGCTAAATAAAATCGAGTTTTTTTTTATGAAATAATATAATGTAGCTCTGAAAAGCCCATTTTGCTTACCGGTTTCTATTTATTTGTGAATTTCCATTACAAGCTCAACAAGATAAGCGACAACTAGACTGGTTGGTACTGGTAACCAAATAAAAAGGCCCAAAATGACCGGATCCAAAACACACAATGAAAGCTTGAGCAAGAGTCTACGTAGCACAAGTTTGACTTTATTTATTAGAACACTAAGAGCACCATCAACGCAGGTGCTTAGGTGAATTGCTTAAGTTAAATTTAATTAAAAAAAAAGAAAAATGACCTATTATCTGAAAATCCGACGCTTAATTAGGAGCAAGAAGCGGCGACGCTTATGGGACACGCGTCATACACGGAAGTCTTCTCCTCTCTCTCATCTCTATCTCTCTCTCCGACTGAAATCAGTTGCGACACGGCGATCAGAGACTGGGTTCTGATCCCTCTCTCCATCGTGATGGTTCTCATCGGTGTTCTCCGCTACTTCGTCTATAAACTCATGCGTTCGCCTCCGACTCCAGATGCGAAGATAGTCAAAGAAGGGTTAGTATCCGCTCATGCTCTTTCACCTTATATGTAGATTGGATTAGCTAATTGAATCGTCGATGTGTGTTGTGTTTTACAAATAAGTTGTGATTAGGGCTCGGAATCTCAAGGCAGGTGCCAATTTCATCCCGCATAAGTCCTTCTGAGCTTGGAGATTCTACTTCAGCAACGAGGTATGCTTTCTTAATGCTTGTATGGATCCAGGAGCAACTAGTTTAGTGTATTCAGTGTGTGATCTGATTTGTATGACGATTGAGAAACATGTCAATGCACAAAACTATCTGACTTCTTGGATTTGGTAGATTGATTACCTTAAGGAACAGTTACTAATGAGAGTGATGATTGTGTAGAATCAGCTCTCTTCCGTTCCCTGACATTATGTTCCTTATTAGTTACTAGTTACTTGTTGAAAGCTTTAAGAGCTTGAATTTTTTCTTTGTTTCCTTGTTTTTGTATGAGACTTAATTTGCAGTGTGTACCAGTGTGGGTCAACCATCTGTTAGATGCTCACTTTTGTGTGGGTCAATTTCTTCTTCTCTGGATTTGTTGCAGGTTTGTTTTTTCTCCTTTAAGTGTCACAGACGCATCATTGTCTTGGCTTTTGTGTTTATCCCCACGTTTACTCTTAACTCTCTACAATGTAAATGGTATCTGAAACTTCTTCCTGGTGTATCTTACAGCCAAAATAATCTTGAGACCATACTCTCAGACTATCAAAGATCCTGTCAGGTTTTGATAAAATCTCTCCTTTTTTTTTTTGCATAATCAGTGGCTCTGATCTTTCTTCTCTGTTTTTTTTGTTGGGGTTATGCATATTAGATATCTGCGAGTAGACAAGACACATGTTTGCTGCAGTTTCCCTTTGTCTGAAATGCTCGGTATGTATTTTTCTTTTTTTTGTTGAGCTTGAGATCTTATACAGATTCATCCTTCAGTTTTGAAGATCCTTTTGAATCTTGATACCTATGTTTATATAATGTTTGTAAACACCAAAGTAATATTCACAACACCATTCACTCTTTGTGACTCATTTCATACCATTCAAACTTATTCTTTGTTATTGATCAAACACCATTCCTTCTTGTTCTTTGTTTTTATCAAACACCATTCATTTTTGAAATTATTTTTGATTATTTTACTAATCTTTGTTTTTATGTTTTTATTTTAAATTCTATGTTTTAAATGTAATCTTTTAATATTTCTTATACAATAAATAAAATTTATGTTAAATAAAACAATGTCAATTTTTTTTTTTTTTAAAATCCCAAAATAAGCAACTTGCATTGGAGGCAAATAAATGTTCGGGTGCTTAGCGTTGGTGCTTAAATCACTTTAACAACTAAAAATTATTAAACAAAGAATAAGCACTCCAAATTAGGAGCTTGGGTTGATGATGCTCTAAACAGAAAAGCAAAACAAGAATCATTCCTCAGCAGTGAGCTAGATTACGTCTGGTTCCTAGCTTTCTCCTTCTCCTTGGCTTCGCTACCTTGAGTTTTGTCGTAATCTTCCCAGATAATAATTAATACACACACAGAAACGACACAATCGATTACTTGTATTGTACAGCCACATATAATAAGTTGTTAGTTAGATTAGATTTACCAGGGTGATTCTCATGGACCTTAATTATCATTGTTATCCTTTTGGAAAGTTTGATTTCCTCCATAGCATAGGTTCCTCCAAACCCTTCTTCATCAGACCTCGTAGCGTACCCTTCTCCAAACGAATGCGACATCACGTCACTGAGCTCCATTTTTCATCAAAAGATATGGAGCCAATAAAAAAACACATTAAAATAACTTCCAAACGAACTGTAGGCTTATATTACACGTACATAGTGCCGTGGACAAGACAAACAAACCCGGTTTTGTCGTTTGGATTATCAGGCAATTCTTATTCTTATCCATCTTTTGCTGGTCAGAAGAAGCGGTCGCAAAACCGAGACCGGTAACTTTGTTGCCAATTCTAGACCGAGGTGACGAGAAAGAGACGGTTGTTGAAGGCAGTGGTCGGATAGTCTTTAAACACGTTGATCATTTCTCAACTTTATGAGAGAGGTTTCTTCTTCAACCTTTGAATTTATAGATCGAGTGAAATAATTTTACAAGATGATAAAGTAACAAAAAACGCTTACTTAATAATAATAATACTAGGGGACTGATACGATCAAGGGATGTATTACGTGGTGAATTTCAAAATAAAGAAAGGTTATATAGGTGGAGGTATCGAATTCTATCACGTCAGGACTAAAAAGCTTTAATTAAGCCTCTCCGTTTATCTAGCACGACGGTGTCTTAGACAAGAGTTGGTCACGTGGCGCTTTGATGCAAGGTGGCGGGGGGCTATGAAAGGAGTCGACTAAAATGTTTGTCTTAAGAGCATCATTAACGCGAGCGAACGCTTACAGTGGTGCTTAGGTGATTTTGGGTTTAAAAAAAAAGGAAAATGATGTAATTAAGAAAGCGTCGACGCTTAATTAAGCGTAGTAGGAAGCAGCGGTGTTAGCCTACACGTGTCAGTCTCTCAGCACTCCTTGTTCTTTTCTCTCTCTCTCTCTCTCACGAAACACAAACGTCTTCTCTCTCGACTCGATCATATCTCTCCTCCGTGATCAGTCGAAGCCATATGTAAACAGTAATCTCGTCTTCATCTCCACTGGCTTGCGTGTTAATATTCTCTTGATTATCACTTTTTATTCTATGGTTCTTGGAAATCTACTCATCTTCGCCAATCGGAGATTGATCATGTTCGACTTCGTCAGTCACCTAATCGTCAACAAGTTTCCGGAGATTCCTGGCGGCGAAAAACGGAGCTACCCCAGCACTGGCTCCTCCCTCTCTTTTGATTCTGCTTCTGCTTCCAAGTCTAATTCTTTTGATTCAAATTGATAATAGTTTCCAGATTCTCATATAGTTGGGATCAGCTACTCGTTTGATTGGAACATAGAGAGATATGTATGGTGTTTATGTGGAATCATAGTTTCTCTTCTGTGTTGAATTATTGATCTTTGATTTTATTTAGCATATGAGAATCTGACTTTTTCTGCTCATCTTATTGAATGTCAAAGCTTTAACTTGTTTGAACCTTGAAACGTTGTGAGAACATAAAGGAGACAACTTTGATGTTTCATCTTGATGTATTATTGTTATCTTGTAGTATAATTCTCTGTGAAGCTGTTCATATATTTGGTTGCTCTTTGACAATGCTCTCGTTTTTAAATATTATCTGTGAACTTGACGAAGCCCTTTGATTTCGAAACAACCAGAGTTTTTTTGCAAGATTTTGTTCTCTTATGATCTCAGTTTTAGTTCTATTTTGCTCTGTCTCTGCAACTGCAGAAAATAAAATGGTGATGTGAAGCTTTGTTTATCTTTGCTGAGATGTTGATGGACTGACTCTGTTTTGTTTTTTGTTTTTTTGTTTTGTGGTGTGCACAACAAACGTGGTGGGATGGTTAACTTAACACCTTCATGCTGAGAAAGGAGATGCTCTCTACGGTAAGATGGAGAAGGAGAGAGTTACCTGCCAAACGCAACGGAGACGGGTTTTAGCACTAGAAGAAACTCCACACCAAAACATAAGGTAGTCACATCCTTGTTTTTTTTTTTTTACAGGTCATCCAAACATTATTCACAGGGACAAAAAATCAGCAAACATTGTGCTGTCTGATGAATATGAATCTCAGGTAATGAAAAAAGCTTCTCTGTTTTTTAATATGCATCATATGACTCTGTAAAGTTTTAGTTGATGAGACTTGTTCTTGTTTTTAATGGTGTAAAGGTTGCTGATTTTGGACTTGCTAGACTAAATGATACAATCACAATAAAAGATTGGCTGACTGTGTTAGACATTCTGATCTAAAACGTCCACGCATGGTTCACGTAACAATATTTAGCAACAAGTTATTACTTTCTCTATACGAAACTCATTCATTTGGTAAAATAAAGGTTGTGAGAGCATTAGTTTTGAGAGAGGATGAAAAGTGAAGAAATGTATATTTTGAATGTTATGTTTTAATATGTCTTATATAATAAATAAAATTTATCTTAAATAAAAAAAATGGTTAATATTTTTCTTTTGAAACTCCAAATTAAGCAACTTCCATTGGAGGCAAAAAATTAGAGGAGTGCTTAATTAAAGTGCTTAACACACATTTATTAGTAAATAAATGATGGGACAATTGCAAAAATACCATTTTTGTTGTACCACAATTCAACTTTACCACCACTCAAGAGACATTTTCATAAATACACAATTCATTAATGAAAAAAGACAATACTATCCTTAGCTCTATCTTCTCTTGATTAAATAATGGCTGATCTCTTCTCCGCCTCTGAATCTACGGCCACCACCGTCGCACCACGACGACTGCTCCCGGTAAAAAACGAACCGGAGCTTCTAAAGGACAGCGAAAAGGAAGATATACCACGAGATAGAGATCTCATCCAGCTCCTGGAACCATCGTGACCAACATCCGCCGCAATACTCGCTGTAGTAGCCGCCGAGTGATCGAGAGGAGATCGGCAGAGAGGACAGGTTTTGTTTATGAGTCCTTACGAGAGGTTGACTTCTAAAGATACTGGAGAGGCCTCGTTTATGTTTCGTCGTTTTATCTCAAGTCTTTCTCTCAGTTTGAGTTACTTATATTTTATGAAATGCACACACACTCATTTATGATGCATTCAACGGTCTTGAATCTGTTATTTAATGTCATTAATATGGATTCTTTGGTTACAGATTCCACTCTTCTTTATTCAAGTGATTTGTCCCCACATTGCTCTATTTGATACCGTACTGGTGTGGAGATGTGGTCCCTTCATGGTTGGTGATTGGTTGAAATGGGCTTTGGTAAGTGTTATTCAGTTTGTTATTGGCAAGCGTTTCTATGTTGCCGCATGGAGAGCTCTTCGAAATGGTTCAACTAACATGGATGTGCTGGTCGCTCTGGGCACGTCTGCGTCTTACTTCTACTCTGTTGGTGCTCTTTTGTATGGAGCAGTCACTGGGTTTTTGTCACCAACTTACTTTGAGGCAAGCGCTATGTTGATAACATTTGTCTTGCTGGGTAAATATTTGGAATCTCTTGCAAAGGGGAAAACCTCAGATGCTATGAAGAAGCTAGTACAACTTACTCCAGCAACAGCGATACTAATCGAAGGCAAAGGTACTTTATCTTTATGAGAATTGTTGATCAATGAGAGTGAAATCTATAGGACAAAAACTAACAACATCAACCGTTTTTCTTCATTTTTTTAGGAGAAAGAGAGATAGATGCATTACTGATCCATCCTGGTGATTCATTAAAAGTTCTACCTGGTGGAAAGATCCCTGCAGATGGTGTTGTGGTGTGGGTTTAAGTTACGTCAATGAAAGTATGGTGCTGGTGAATCAGTTCCTGTATCTAAAGAGGTTGATTCACCAGTGATCGGTGGTACCATTAATATGCATAGTGTTCTTCACATTAAAGCTACAAAAGTGGGATCTGATGCAGTACTGAGCCAGATTATTAGTTTGGTGGAGACAGCCCAAATGTCTAAAACTCCTATCCAGAAATTTGTAGACTATGTAAGTGGAGTACATAAACATGTCAATAATTGTACCATCCGTTGGTGGTATTGTTGCTTCATTTGTGAATAAATGAATCCTCATTTTCAGGTTGCAAGTATTTTTGTTCCGGTAGTGATCACTTTGGCATTGTTCACTCTAGTAGGCTTGTAAGATCATGTTCCTTAGCTGATGAAAGACATGTGAGATTAGTTTGTTCTCATTTTCTTGAACCAAATGATATTGTAGGTCAATTGGTGGAGCTGTTGGAACTTACCCAGATGAATGGTAGCATCTACAAGGACACCACTAGGTGTATTCCAACAAGTCATGACTTGCTCTCCCTGCAACGAAACAGGGGAGGTTTCAAAGCCATGCGGTGCTTGCTCAGGAGATGGACGTGTGAGGAGGAGTAAAAGCATTAGTCTCAAAGTTCCAGCTGGTGTGGATTCTGGTAGCAGGTTGAGAGTGAGAGGAGAAGAGAATGGAGGGAACAGAGGTGGATCAGCTGGTGATCTTTGTGTTGTTATTGAAGTGATTCCTGCTATTTTGATTGATGAGTTGTATTGTACTGCTATTTTATATAATTTTTCAATCTTCTTTATTTTGATTGGTGAGTAATTTATCAAACACAAACAAAGGTTCAAAAGATCTTACAAAAAAAAAATGAAAAAGAGATGAATGTCCGTATTATCGGCAATGGTTTTGAAGCAGAGTTTCCACATTTTTTCATTCTACCGAGAAAGACAAAAAAAACACCGTGAGCTTGTATGACATCATTTCCAATGCTGCTGGAAATTCATGGTATGCATTCTGCTACGATGTTACAAAAAAAAAAAAAAAAAAAAAAAGCATTCTGCTACAATGACTTTCCTTTGGTTAGGAGTAATACAAAAGTATTCCAGTACCAAAACCAATAACATAAATTCATAACCATCATTGGTTACAATATTTTATGCTTGATCCGTGTTAATTGCTCGACTTTTTGTGTTTTTTAACATAATGCTACTATTTATAAGGGTTTATAAAACTATTTATAAGAGTTTATAAAACCATGTACAAGAACTTATCACCCATTTATAAGAGTTTATAAATCTATTTATAAGGTTTATAAATCTATTTTTAAGGTATATACAAAATATTAAAAGAGTTTAATAATCTTCATAAAACAATTTATAAACCATTATAAATTCATTTATAAATTCTTATAAATCAATTTATAAATTCTAAATAAATAAATTTATAAACCCTTATAAATCAATTAATAAAATTTTATAAATGTGCAAAAACTTGGTATTTCATTTTTAAGAATTTAAAAGGGTTTGTATCATTTATAAACCCTTTTAAATCTGTTTTATAAACAGTTTATAAGAATATATAGAATTTTTTTTATAATAATCAATAAATCATTTATAAGAATATATATAACTATTTATAAGAGTTTATAAAATTATTTATAAGGATTTGTAGAAATTCTAAAGATAGTTCAATTATCGTCTTAAAACATTTTATAAAGGATTATAAATCATTTATAAGAGTTTATAAATCATTTATAAGGGTTTATAAAATTATTTATAAGGGTTTATAAAATTATTTATAAGACTCATTTTAAATATTTATAATTGTATTTGCAAGAAGGAAGTATCTATAATGATTAATAAACTTATTTATATGTCTTTATAAATATTTATAAAACCAATCATATGACTATAAAAAATCAGTTTTGTATATAAACCATTTATAATAGTTTATAAAAAATTATGAACCATTATTTATATATTTGCATAAAGTCATCTATAAAGTTTATAAAACACTTCAAAATATTTATCAAACTATTTACAAGGGTTTATAAATTAATTTATGACATGAAACCAAACACACAACTACATGGAAAGATTTAAAACAAGATTATTACACATCCATTGAAATATTAAGACTGGGTCCTAGTCCTGGATTTGGGTTCGTCCATCTCCTCTCCCTCATCGACATCTTCTCCAGGGTTTCTGTGACCTCCTTTGCGACCCATCTGCTGATATCCTTCACTTCCTAACTGCTCTTTCCTCGTATTCCCTCCTCTGGCCCTCCCTTTAACATAATATCAATCCCATTAATTACTATAGAGTCTATAGTTATAACTTGAAGCGCATACGCAGACATGTAATGAGCAAGAGATAGATAAACCTTCAGCGAGATGCTGTTGAGCTTCAAAGCTTTTGCCTCCAGTACCACCTGGCCCGACGGTCTCACAGCACCGCCAATTCTTTGAAGTGAGCAACCATGAAACAGCCTTGAATCACTTGCACTCGTCTCCTTCAGCTTCTTCTTTATAGAACTCACTGAAAATCACTTCACTGACTTGTATCTCAATCTTCCACCTTAGTGTCGTCTCTGATTTTTCTCAGAAAACCCTGCAACTTTCCTCTGACCAACAGCAAGCGTCAAACAACATGTAAAAACATGTTCACTTCACCCATATATTGCTTGAACGTGGTGTACCTCTTATTCTCAGCTTGCTTGTCTTCTTTACATGATAGACACATGAACCTGATTCAACAGTGAATGTGGAACCTCTTAACTCCTCTTCGAGGAAACCTTAAGTGTACTGAGCAACAGTAAAGGTCTTGGCCAATGCAGTTACCATATGATTCATCTTTACCTGTAGAGTTGTAGATGATAGCAATTATGTTAGAAGACCACATACTCTAAGCATCCTTCATAATTACATCGTTAGTAGAGCAAAGCAGGGAGTGAAAAATACTTACCACTTGAACCTCTGAAACTGAAGTTTGTGGTTCCTGATCTGCTGTTCCTTTAACTTCTGTTTCTAAGATTTCTAAGGCACTCCTGAATATCCAATCAATATAAAAACAAAATTTGGGATTATCAAATTCAGTGTGATAATTTCAAAAGTAGACAAATACAGAAGAGTATTCACCTGCAGACAGATAAAGCCTTTCTCATGTCTCCACAAACAGTAGCAGAATCAGACCCATCAACAACGTCATCACCATCAACGTCAACAACAGGAACATTATTATTATTATTCTCCTTAGCTTCAACACAATTGACATCTCTCTCTTCTTCAATACCATGCTTCTCCTCTTTGCTTCTCTTGCCACTTTCCTTCTGAGTAATTGTTTAAGACACAAACCGGTTCTCTTGGGCTCATAAACTGAGGAACAGATCTACCGAAAGACCGTAGCCGAGTTCTAATGTTTTCGGTTTGACCAAGAGAAGCCTTAACGTCATGAATGTTGACAGCTACACCAAGACCTTGGACAGATTCTTGGCCTCTGTATCTACCTACAACATCTTTTCCCACTCTCAAATCTTCCTTATCCTTGGCTCCTATTAGAATCTGTGTTCATTATTTAAATTAACATCAAAAAGATTATGTTTTGCCAACTTAATAACATAAGAGAAAGAGCTTAGCTTGAGACTAAGGCACCTAGTTAACTGATAACCAACATAAGCTGCACTTAAAAGAAAACAAATGGTGAGACTTGAGCAAACCTGAATCGGTTTCTTGTAAATTTGACCGAGTTCAAAGATCTGCAACCATCTGTAATCTCTTTTAGTGAAGCATCAGTCAAATTATCCAACTCTGAGAGGTCAAGAGCTTCCAGATTAGAACAATATCTCCCAACAGTCCAAAGAGTTCCATCATTAACCCCTCTGATCACCATAACGAAAACTCAAAAAAACATTAGTTCAAGTAGACAAAAAAACCATCCAACTAGTTCCATGATTCAAACTTACACGCAAGAAGCTAAAGAAAGATCAGTGAGACTAGACCCACGAGAAGTTAACCCAACAACAACATCATGAATCCCTTAAGTCCAGCAACCGAGAGAGAGTTCAACTTCTCAAACCTACTTAAACTAATCCTAAACACATCAGACGTGTTTACTTCTCAAACTTCATCTCTGCAAAGAATCTGATCAATGACACCGCCTCTAGGATTTTACTCCGGTAACAGAACTCTTGCCCTGGTAACAATCTCTGATTTCTCGACCTGAATCCTTCTTTGACTCGTCTTCTGAATTGTAGACTTTGGGGGTTTTTGAGTTCTGTCATCGTCTTTTTGAATCGATCAGGTGGCTCGTGCTTCTGCTTTCGGGCTGTGTCTCATCTAGTGGCAACGTCAAGCTCAAGGCTTGTTCGGCTTCGTCGGATTTGGTCGCCGTGGAACTATTGGTCGTCATCTAATTTAGATCTGGAGAATTTGTTGGAGATAATAGGTTAAGGGTACAATAGTCTTTTTTCTATCAAAAATTCAAGGGTAAAGTTGGTTAAGGTATAAGTAAAATATGGTAGTTTGAAAGTGGTAGATTAGGCAAATTCCCATAAATGATTAAGCAACTTCTAATAGTGCTAGGTTTAATGGTGCTCTTACTACACGATGTGAAAGTTTTATATTTCACACTTTACCAATTTGTGCCGTCGGTAAGAAAAGTTAAAACCCCAAAAAATAGTGTTACAAAAAAAAAAAAAAAAAAAAAAA